TCGTGCTTCATCATACCTTCCAACCATATAAAACATGACACCCATCCGTGCCTCTATCCCAGCAATTGTGCTTTGCTGCCCTGGTTTATCCTCCAACAACTTCAGAGCCTTCACCAAGAGCTTTAGTGCTTCCTCGGGTTCATTAAACAATTCATATATGGCAGAAATTTCTGTCATTCCACTTGCAATCTCTTCTGAAGTTGTTCCAGGCACAGGTTTCGCATAGATCCTCAGTGCATTTTCACAGTATGATCGGGACTCCCTTAACTTTCCTGTCTTGTAGTACAAGTCAGCAAGCCTCACAAAAACAGAGGCAACTGAAGGATGGTTATCACCCTTTGATGATTTGAAAACAGTAAGCGCCTTCTGGTAGGAGAAAACGGCCTCATCAAAGCGAGATAGTGACAAGTAGATGTTACCAATGCTAACATCAATAGCAGCAACCTCATTTTCTTGTCCATTGGCAATCATTGCCATGCTGGCAAGCACAAGGTGTTCAAGTGCTGATTCATAATCACCTTTAGCCTCACATATGAGAGCCATTAACCGCCGATCAGCAGCTTCTTCAAGAGATGCTGGTGGGCTGTGCACTCTATGTATTTCCAGTGTTCTCTTACACAAATTCTCAGCCTCATCAAATTGCATTGCTTGGACATGTGCCTCAGCCAGGTATCTGCAAATGTCAGACAAGTCATGTCAAATTATGGGCAGCCAAAAAGATGTAACTGCAGCCAAATTATAAATTTTAGGAGAACCGTCTGTTATACACTTATGCACACAAAATTTTCAGTAACGAGAAATGCTTATAATAGCAGATTAAGTCCACAATAAGGAGATCAATTTCATATCTGAAAGACAACCAGTTACCCTATACGGCTATACCTAGATTCATGAGACTTGCACTTAGAAGTTACTCCCTTTGTTCCAATCTAAATTTGACTGGTTGCTTCTCAATTGTTTATGTAACCTAATTTCAGCAAAGGTGGCAAACATATTTCTCTTAAGATTTTGAAACACTGATTCTAGGTAGGAAGGTAACAATTTCAATCCCTGGTCTCCATATACCAAAATAGATAATAATATTATCATTTTTATTTTCAAATATTAAATTTATCATTATCTATGCTTAAGCCCAAAGTTGGTAATTTGATCCAGAGAGCAGTAAAAGTCAAAGAATGGGACAGAGTACCAAAATTGGCTCCCTTATTTGATAAACTGAGCAATAACTCAGTGCAAACTTCTACTCTAAACTGCTAAGATAAAATGTTCTCCAAAATATATATGAATAATACTTTTTCTGCTAATTCTATCATTCACCAAAACAGGTGCTAGCTCCACAAACATGATAAGAGAAAATAGACTTTCTTCCACAAAAGGACAACAAATATACAAATAATAATTCGCCTATTAACCAAAAATACCAAATATTTCCAACCAATTGAAAGTTTAGCCAAAACTTCTAACTTCTGTGATTCTTACACAATTTGATTTTTTTGGTTCCAATTTTCGTCCATTCTCCAAAATTTGTCAAACTTGGGCCAACCTGATTTATATTTTCATTTTCTAACATTATAATTTTAAGAATCTCTTTTCTAACCCCAAAAGAAATTCTTAAAAACTTTAGCATCAACTCATCGCCACCAACAAAGAGAAAAAACCTAATCGCAGCTCAAGTTACTATAGTTACCATCATAAGTTTATCAATAGATTTTAAGTCGCAAGGCAACATTCTGAATGTTACCTCAATCATAATAACCATCGAAAGCATTAAGAACAAGCTTCCAGTCACTATAGCTACAATAGATCCCACAACCCAACTTAGGGTTTTGTTTGTCATGGTAATGAAAAACAAATTGATTGAAGGAAGATCTTTAGAAACACTAGGGTAGAGAATAATAGTATTATGAAGCCTGATCAAGTTCATTTTCATCAAAAATAGGGAATTAACTAAAATTGCAAACAAAAAAAAAACAAAATTTAGTGTGAAATGTAAAAAATAAAAGTTCTGACCAGAATTGGTAATAGTAAAAGGTTTGGCTTTTTTGGCCTAATAATTATTATAATACCAGTAGTAAATTTACCAGAAAGTTGCTTCAGAACACAGTGAATTAGCATTAAGTTTTAGTGATGATATTTCCCATCAATCTGTGAGTCTGTGACCCATGTTTACGGAAAATACTACATTTACTCTCATCCTCTACTTCCAACTTTTACTCCCACACTTAAAATCTTATATTGATGTAGACACATGAAGAAAATAATCTATAGCCCTAAAGCCGCCACATAGGGAGTAAATTTGAGGGAGTAAGAGTTGGGAGTACATGTAGTAAAACTCCATGTTTACGGATCATAAGCTACACTATCTCTGGTAACTCTCTTAGCATTATTTAGATTCATGCCACATTTTTTTTCGCACAACATCCAGACTTCTAGAGAATCCTAATGACAACTAATAATATGATAAAGGTCAACAAAAATATCTTACTTTCATTAAACAAACACTATAAGCTTGATGCAAATTTTAATTTCCTAAAAATGTAGTAAAAAGAAAAGGAAATAAAATAATTTACCTGCAAGTCTCAGCAACTCTCGGATCAGTATCTCCTAAAGCATCCATCTGTACTTTCAGGCCTTCATTATAACACTCAATCGATCGATCCAGCTGACCGAGCATGGAATGAGTATCTCCCAGCTGCATATGCCCTGAAAATGCTGCAAGCGCGTGATCTGCACCTCTTGACGTATCCGGCACTGTAATGGCTCTTTCAAGCACCGGAAGAGCTTCCTCAAACCTGCCCAAGCTACAGTAAATAGCAGCCAAAACGTGCAGACTCATTGCCAGGTCGAGGCTAGGCTGGCCATCGACTGCGCACCTCTCAAAGGACTTGGCGGCTCGGAGTGCATAATCCAGGGCCTTATTCGGACCCTCACCGGACGCAATCGTGTCCCGAGCGAGCTTCAACAGGAATGGCCCGAGATCCGGGTTGTCAAGCGACGATTCGTCGATAACAGCCTTCTCCGGCGGCGATTTCTTCTTTCCGGAGCCCCGATCCGGCGACGGCTTGGCTCGTGAGGTGGACGGGGAAGGAGAGGGAGGACGCCGTGGAGCTGGCGAGCTGGGCTTCGTGTTAACATTCTCGGATCTACTCGAATTAGCTCCGATCTGGCCTTGACTCTCGTCTGGAACTGTGATTCTCAATGGCGTAGCTTCCGGCGGCGTTTTAACTGAAACTATTCCCGGCATTTCCTCAATTCACAACAGAAAAACAAAAACAAAACAAAACAAAAAAATCCCTCTTTCCCCTAAGAAAACCGATCGAATTTATCAAACCGATATCCTGTATTATACAATCGCCAAAAAGCGTTACCAATAAGTAATTAATGAGAGATTAAGAGACTGAATTATAGACTACAACAGGCCACCATTCTCTACTGTTGAAGAACAGTTTAGAGCTTAGGAGATAGAGAGAGAGAGAGAGAGAGGGAGGAAGATGAAGTTCAGCTGAAGACGAGACTGGGGACCAGCGGTCAGTGGACCGTCGACGACACCTGATCTTTGCATTAAGATCGGACCGGTTCAATCTCTGACCCGAATCTAGTGGGCCAGGTGATGACCTGGATAGCAATGATAGTTTAACCACAACCAATTAGGTGGCGACAGGTAATCCGGGCTGTTCGCAATATTCGGGTTTTTTCGGTTTGGGTATGATGGATAATTGGATACGATATGATTAGACCGGAGTTTCCGTGAGAAGAGTGCAAGCTGTGTGGTGCGTTGGATGTGGGAAGGTTGCCGTTAAACGCAATCTGACGGTCGAGATGAGGTTGGTCTAACACCCCCCTCTAAATCTCTAATCCTCCCTCTATAATAATGCTCCATTATTTGATTGGAAAAGACTCAAAAGAGCCAATATGGTATGGCCTCGTTTAATTTTGACAAAGAGGTGTTTAATAAATAATTGTTAATTGATTAGATTAGTGGGGTTAACTAGTAAATTAGTTTTTGGATAGTTTATTACATATAAAACGATTTTATCAAATAGTTGATTTGAGCAACTTATTGAATTTTAATGTTTTTGAGTAATAAGATATTGCAAAAAATTAATTAATGAACATTTATATTAATTGTTTAACCAAATCAAACAGCAAGTAGTCAAATAAGTCAAAATAAATTCATAGGTTAACTATTTTACGATTTTACCAAACATGGCCAAAAGACTCCTATGATTTTTATATCTTACTATAATTTACAAGTTTTGATTTTCTTTTATTTACACACACACACTCGCGATGTGCTTGGCATAAAATTCACTTTGTGATCTTAGCTGATAAAAAACAACAATAAAGTAAAATAATCTAAATTATGCATAGTTAACCAATTCAAAATGAAGTTTTGACTTAATGAGTGTATGTATGTATATATTGGGGGTGTAATAACCAATTTATTTGTTAAATACGATATTTTATGTATTATGCATGTTCATCACTAGTATATATTTAAAAACATATAAAGACATAAATACATGATTTCTCATATGTAAGATGTGTTTACAAGATAGATTATATATTATTATATTTTCTAAAGAGTCATTTGGAGGAACTGTGATTGGAAGAGTGTTACAAAAATTTTCACTTGAAAGTTAAATTCAATGTAAGTGATGTGATTTAAATAATCCAATTTCATTATTATTGATATAATTATTTTATCAAATTGAATTTATAGCAAGATGTGACATAATAATTGTGAAAGAGGTAAGAGATAATAATAACTCTAAAACGACATTTTGAATCAGTGTCTATTCGTTTTATTCTGAGATCAGCGAACAAGTTTGCTAGCTAATACTCTTACTAGAGCTACTCGTTCACAACCTGATCCTATGTGTTGGCTTTCAGTGATTCCTTCTTGTATTGAACACTTATTTTAATAAATCTAGTTCTTTTCCTTTCAAAAAAAATTGTGAAAGAGGTAAGAGAGAAGCAAAAAAAAAACACAAAATCAATAGGATAATAATCATCGTCATCATAAATTAAAATACTTTGATAGAAGAGGAAGTTAGATTTACTTTTGCCTCTCAAGTTTCAACACACATAATGACATAATGTGGGTGACCAACAAAGTGCAAATTAGGTACAACTTAAAGGAGAAATACTTTCCAGTCCCACTTTTTTTTTTTCTCCATATTGTTGTCATAACATCATGGGATGAGAAAGTAAAAGGAAGAAGCTAGGCTAGCTTGGGAATGAGCTGAGATTGAACAGACCATCCAGACACTGTACTGTTTCATCCCTTGCTCCCTTTCCCTGGAGGGGTGTGAGCTTGATTTGGTCCCCCTTCAGTGTAATCCTTTGCATCAACATACAACACCTGCATCAGGTGTGAATCCGATACGATATCACATTTTGTAGCTCATACACTCATGTATTTTTTGTCTAGTGACGAGAGAAATTCACAGTCACTATATACATGTTACTAAGGGATAAAGAATTGATAGCAACTAGCTTGGTTGGCGTGAGTGACCGTGTACTCTTATCCCTTAAGAGATGTCGGGAGTTTAAACACCCTCCCATAAAAAAAAAAAAAAAAAAATTCAATCTAACCAGTACTTTGCCCCTTAATTGGGCCGGTACGATTCGGACGGGAATTAGTCTGAATATGGTACGAGCTTAACTGTGTGTCATACAGTTAGGGCATGATAGACACACCTTGTTTTGGGTGATAGACGCCACAGGAACATCTCTTATGCCATGGCTGCAGCCTATATACAGAAAGATCAGAGAAGGTTGTAATCCTATGTATTGAGTTCAACATATATAAATACAAGAATATAATATGTACAACAATTTAATTTGGACCTGGAGACGAGACAATAATAAGTACTAGGAGCAGAGAAACAAGAAAGGTAGTGTTGGTGTTAAGAAGCTGCAGCTTCATGCTGTAATATGTTGCCACTCAAAGCTTAGCTTATTAGCTTTCTGGGTTGCAATTGGGCTGGCGGGTTGAATGCTATAATTTGTGCCTGCAGCCTTTTATAGCAGTGTTTTAGCCTAACACGTACTGTTTTAATTCTCAGTGCGGCTGTACTGTATAAAATATATAGTGGCTGTTTCAATTGAAGACTTTAATCTGCAAATTTCTGCAGTACCCATCAACTCAGATCACTGCAGCCTGGAATCACATTGAGAATGTTTGGTAAATAGCTGTTAGCTGATTAGCTGTTTAGTAAAAAAATGTTCAGTAATTTAACTATTTGTTGATAGTGATTACATATAAAATGATTTTTTAAAAAAAATAATTGAAAAAACTATTTTGAACAGTTTTTTGATTATTAATATTTTGAAGCAAATAAGTTATTACAAAAAGTTAATTAATCAAACACTAATTATTTAATCAAATCAAATAGCTAATAATGATCAAATAAGTCAAAATTAACCGATAGACTAACTATTTTACCAAACAGGACCATTATTTTTTCTAGGCGTTGAAAACAGACCAAACTTCTTATTTAGCAGTCATGTATTGTCTTCTTCCCTGGGGCCACTGGCTAAAGATTTCAACCATTGCATAATTACGAAGACCTCTCCGTTTTGGTAGGCACAACCCAACTATGCAATTCCATCTCTAACTATGCCAATTCAAGAAGGTTTTATTAAAAACTGTAGTGGCTGATCACTGACCTACAAAAGACGAAATTTCTTTACCCTAAGAGGAGAGATAAATTACAGTAACTTGGGAGGACCATTATCTGGTGTTCACAAAGAGTTCACCATATTAGGTGTAACTCTCACATTAGAGATACTAGAGCTCGATCATGTTTCATTGTCCACAATCTACCGCCTAGAAACCAACTGCCTGAAAAATTGTTTGATATCTATATATGTGGCTAATAGGAAGCTGTGGGCTGTGGGATGCACTGTTTGTTATGGAATCCCATTCAAATTTTCCTATGCATAGTTGACTTAATTATTATCTGATCTCTTTCATTTGTGGTTGGGCAGAAAGTCATTACTTTTGACTGAGTTCTCAAAGAATATAATACAACTGAAGAACTACCCACTATCAATTCAAGATTCAAGAATAATTGTAAGCACTGTATACCACTATACCCACACCTTCTCTTGATGCCAGCTAGCTAGCTAGGGAATTGAAGCAACTGAAGAACTACCCACTATACCCACACCACTGTGAGAACACCTTACTTTGATAAACTGAACTTTGCATTATATATAAGGTTAATTACTTTCATAGGGGGTCTAAAATGTACCCATCCAGTTCAGTGAATCATAAGTGTGTGCCTGTTGCACCGTACTAGCAGAAAAAGGATGGAGGAAAATGAGCTCCAAGGTTCAACTTTCCACTCATAAGTTAGGCAGCCATGCATCATCTTTGTAAGTTCTTTTGTCTTCCCCACTTCTTCTACATCTGTACTTCAACATCATGGATGTTATTATAGCATGATGAAACTTAAAACTACTTAGTAGGTTAGGTTATCTACACTCATGCAATTTTCTTTCGCTTTTAAAATGTCACATCACAAAATTTACAATTAATAACTATTCAATCTTCATTCATGCAATTTTCTCACCTCACTCTTTTAAAAATAACCCTCTATCACATCAACTTATTAAAAAAATTATTTTTCACCAGAATTGTATTTGCAATTCTGACAATCAAATTGCAAGACATGCAATTTGACCTGTCAGAGTTGCTACACGTAATGTCTAAAAAAAAAAAAAGAATTCCACATCAGCTTTGCAATTTGGAAGAAATCATGGATGCAGATGGCCTTAAAGTCCTTACTCATAAAGACTCCTTGTGTGCAGAGTGTATAAATAAAGAGTTCTGGGACTTAGAATTAGTATGACTAAACTTGAAACCTGAAAGCAACTTGTCCTTAGCTTGCTATCTTGCTTTTTTAGTTATATATATAACAGAGAGCTATATATTCTTTTTTTTTTTTTCAAAGGACATTTATTCTAATCTAATTAATCTTATTTAAAAAAAGAAAAAGTTGATATATGAGGTAATACATTGCTGACATGTTAGCTGCTGGTGATGAAGATGAAATAGGCAAATCAGCCGTCTCAAAACCTACTTAGCTCAAAGAAGTTGACATATGACATTTTTCTGGCAAGACGAGTAAGACACCCAATTCCAGGCCAATATCCAATAAGCAGGTTTCTTGTCCATTCTAGCTAGCTAGCTAAAAAGAGATGGCTAGAATTATCCAAACGGGTTCAGAATTTTCACCATCATGAAAGCTAAGAATGTCAACTTCTTTAATTTGCTGCAAGTAGTTAAAAGTTAGTCTTAGAATACCATCCTAAGGAAATGCATTCGGCACTCCAGAAATCTGGATCTTTATCCATTAGTACAGTGCTTCAATTCCAGCAGACATCTAGGGAGAGGATTGTGACAAATTAAAGGAAACCCCGGTCAGTACCAGATCGAACAGAACGCTGTTGAGTGGAATAAACAAAAGGGAGCACTTAGCCGTTTAACAAGTTTGACAAATTATAACATGGACTAAGTTCTACCTTGCATTATGGACACTGGTTCAAAATAACTTTAAGATTATGTGTCGGGAGTTATATATTCTGTACATGCAGCTAACTGTTTATGTGTTTGATTATATGTCTGCAATTAATATATTCTATACCTGCAGTTAACATATTTTGTATCTATAGTAATCATTTTATTATGTGCTTCCAATTTATTTACAAGTATATAAACTATTTATCGCAGATGAGAATCGCACTTTTGGTCCCTCAATTATTAATGCATTTGTAATGTAGTCCCTAGTTTTCAATTTAGACAGATTCGATCCCTCAATCTTTCTTACATTAGTCAATTTAGTCATTCTGTCATTTAATCACGTTAAACATTGTTTAGACCATGGACATTTTTGGAATTTTAAATACCACTGAATATATTTACCCAATTTCTTCCCCCTTCATCCTCCTATCTGCCATTTACGCCACCAAATATTCATCCACTGAAGGACTTAATTGATCAAAAAATAATTAATGACCAAATTGATAATTTTGTTATAGTTAAGGGATCATCTTGATAATTAACTCTAACTTCAACCATGCATACTTGCAATGTCAGAAAAATATTACTAAGACTTTCTACTGAGATCTAATCAAATGCTTTATGAATACTAGTAACTAGTTCATCCACATGCATGCCTGGATTATTTAATTTGGAGGTGTGGAGGCTGATAAGTTAAGTGAATATCAAAGCCATCTTTCTTTGCAGCTTCCAGAACTTCAACATTATTCATACTAATATGTGGACTTGCATTATCTAGTTGAATATATATATTCTTTGAACTACTCGGAGGTCATTTTGCTCGTATTGCAGGCAATGTTGGCAAATAAGGTCGAAAACTCAATAATAATCCTACGGAAAAGGATTATTATTTTCTTAGAAAATTTGAAATTTTTGGGAATTTCTAGAATAAAACAACCACATGGGCGAAAGGATTTTTATGGCTAGGTTGTAAGTACGAGTCGAGTTGCACTCTCTCCTTAAAACCTTATTTGCTGTCTCCTAAAGGTGTCAGGAGCGTTGCAGTCTAGGTTTCTCAGGATAAAACGTACTACAGTTCTAAGTTTTGAGCACTCAAACTTAGAACCAGGTGAACTAGAGCCTTGGAAGAACACAGAAGGTAGGTAGAGAAGAAAAGAAGAGCAGGGTTTCGATTTTGTTGTACCGAGGTATGTCGAGAAGAAGGGTTACCGAGGTATGTAGAGCTAGAAGAAGGTTTACCGAGGTATGTAGAGAAGAGGTATGTCGAGAAGAAGGGTTACCGAGGTATGTAGAGCTAGAAGAAAGTTTACCGAGGTATGTAGAGAAGAAGGGTTTCGATTTCGATTTGTTGTACCGAGGTATGTAGAGAAGAAAAGGAGAGTTGTACCAAAAAATCAACTGCTCTTGCACAACTTATACAGGACAAAGGGATTATAGACATACGAGAAAGAACCTCTATACTATACAATTCAATAAGCTTTAAAAGGCTCTTATATAAATAGTGGTGCAAACCCATTTCCAAAACCAATGTGGGACAAAAGCTTCTTTAAAGCTTTTCCATCTTTTATTTCCAACTCAAATGGGTCTACTTTGATAATCAATTTCTCATTCACCCATTATCCGTTTTGAGCGTACAATATATCAATCTCTTCGTCTCACTACGAAGAAACCGAATCCACTTTGACTCGACCAAAATCGAAGTGGACCCTACTAATATTTTTCCCACAAAATAGCCACTTAAAATGTTATTTTATGATATTTTTCCAATAGGCAATACATAATCAATCAATCATTTTTTTTTTGTAACTTCTTTATTTACATATTCAATGGCCTTAGTTTCTAAGGTTCCAGTTTCTCGGTTCTTAGTTCTACGCTTAGTTGGTTCTTTATAAACAAATGGAAACATCCAAATTTTTCCATCAACCATTTCATTTCTTTCTAAATCAAACCGAGGGCGAGCACAAAAAAACATAACTTTTGTTATAAACTTTTTACTTTTACAAGTATGATATAATAATTCATTTTCCTCAAGTAACATGTAATATTTTTGAGAAGTTATTGAGAGGGAAAAACATGATTCATCTATATGAATATGGTCGTACATATCTATGAAATATGGATTATTATGAGATGAACTTGAATCAATCATAGATGTGCAGAACTGTAATCGTACCTTTTTGGTTTTCCTCTGTTAACATAGACTTGGTAGCATTTGAGCGGGATTTCAGATCACTCTTTAACTCTCCAGCGAAGGCTTATTTTTTTACATGTTTAGTGCACTAGCCATAGATCGAAATTTTGTGCATGCAATGATTCAACGGGATTCTTGAAACATCTTTGAGATTGATCTCAATCATTTTCCTTCGAACTTTACTTGACAAATTTAGACAAATATCAACTGGAAGACCATTTGTAACACAAGCAATCCTTTTTTAATTTCCATATTCGGCTAACAATTCTCATAGAAACATAGTACATACTTGCAACA